TTGTTTTTGTTTGAAGAAAAGATTATTTTTAATAAAAAAAAATTAAATCTTGATATATATTATCCCTGATAACAACTGTGATTAGCACAAACTGCTGTCTGCGAATTGTTTCCAGTTTAATTAAATAATTTATTCATCTGAGTATACAAACATATTTCTTTATAAAAATAAAGTATATTTCTTCCCCAGAGAGAAAAAAATATATAAAAAAAGTATATTTCTTCTCCAGAGAAAAATATTATGAACGTTTCCTTTTTATACAACAAATGAAGTTTACACATATGATCTTCCTTAGCGAAAATCGTCAATGGTTTAAAAATTGAAATGATGAAAGAGTTATCACCAACAAAAGGCTAAAAAAATCAAGAAACCTTATATTTAATCATTCTTTATCTTTATGTATACGGTTATGTATGAGAGTGTGTGAGTGAACAAGTGAAAACGAAATGGAATCAACAATTAACTTCCTCATAAAATTATACGTGCCACTCAAAAAGCCAGTCGGGCCGCAGAAAGAAAGTTGGAGTTGTACAATACGCACTATAACATGAAATAACCATTTCTGTCCAGTTTGCTATGTAAATTTATTGATCTTTTAGCACTCTGCTTCCATTTGATTGTATTATTATTATTATTTCAGTGAATACTATTGGCCAAAAAAGATTTCAATGCATTTTCTATGTAATAGTTTCTTTCAAAGGCAAAATTTCAAGTGGATCACAGAAGCTTCGGCTAAGATTCCGACTTCTGATTGGCTATTATATATGAAAAATGTTACAACGCCTACGCAGTTGTGATCAAAGTCAATTTACCGCCAAAATCTGGTTATGTGTTCTCGAGCCTATCACGGGGTTCACATTACTTATAAATACTTTAAAACATCTTTATTCTTCCTCTTTTCTTCTCTCTCGCTTTCTCTTACATACAAGATGTAGCTCAGTGGAGAAGTTGCGTTTGTCCCTTGACACACACACACACACACACACACGTACGTACGTACGAACACCGTACATCTACGAACATCTATTCACTCCTTCAACTACAAGGACACAGAAACTTATCAACTTCTAATAGTGAGATTTTCATCAGTAGACAGCACGCCGCCAGAGCACGTATGACTTTCGACAATTCATCTCAACCGATTTCATCCCTCTTCCGTGAACGAATTTGAGCGGCAAGATCCTTCAGTATATTTACACTAATTTTCAACTCGGAAGTGTTAAACTAAAAAAACTGCATTTTTAGTACTAAATACTACTTCTCGATTTTCAAGCGAATAATACAATTTTCTCTCACTCAACAAGTTTCTTTGAACTCATCTTTCACTAGGTACCTCCATGAGATCGCTAAAAAAGAGCATAGCATGATGAAAAAGACGCCAAACTTGACGAAAACAAAATTTTATCGTCTAAATGTTCATGTTATTATTAAGAGGAAAGATCAAAATATTTTGGGGGTATTTTTTTTTTACATTTTTTAATCGTTCCTAGCACGTCCGAAATTTTCGTTAAAAATCTTGTTTTTTTTTTCTTTTTTGAGTCAGTAAAATTGACAGATAATCAATCATGGCATCCATATTTTTCCTTCTTTATTAAAAAAAAATGAAAATCTCAGTTTGAAATTCTTTTAAAAATCAATTATCATTTTTTCAAAACTTATTTTAAGAAAATCAGAAATTATGTCTATTTAAAATATTTTGAACCAAGCTTAACTTAGCTTCTGCGCCGAAAAGATGTAATTTGAAAATAAAACAAAGCAGGTCATAACCTTTCGCGTCACTTGACAGGTGTTGAATGACATATTGACAGATTCCGTGAGGATAATTTGTTCTACGGAAGAAGAAAAGTGAAGTTATTTAGATTTAAGTGAACAAATTATTTATCTCGTTATTTTTAAGGAAAACTTTCAGCGCTCTATAATTTTTTTGTGGTTAGCTTTCACCTTTACGTTTACGATGCTTTATGGAAAATATATTATAAAAAAATTAAAATAAGACTGTTAAGAGTGAGATTAAATTGCATATTTCATAAGAAAGGTATCTAATTAATTTATAGGCACCTTTCTTATGAAATTTTATCAGAAGTGTACATAAAATACTATAATCTTATGTACATTTATTACATTTTACTGTGTTATTTGTATTTCCATTCATTTTATTATTAATTTTGATATTTCATTTATGGAAAAATGTCATAACTGAGATGAATATAAAAATAAGATCATATAAATTTCATAAGATGATACTGATACTTGTAGGTACCCTTCTCAGTTGAAATTGAAAAATCAAATTAATTTCTCCACACGTGTTTCGCAATAGTAAAGGCCTTAAGAGCGGAGAACAATGCTGAACTCAAATAACGCAACTTAATTGAATTCTGGTTGGTCTTCCGTACTTTACAATTACAGCCCGATTATAAACACAAAATTACATTTCTTAATTACTGCGGATCTTCTGATTAGTCAAAATAATACAATTTACAACGCGCTAAAAAAAAAAAACAGATTTATCTCATAAGGACACTTATGAAACCCGATGCGGCTTTTAACTAATTTTATAATATTTTAACAACTTAAATGTAAAAATCTATCATAATTAAAGAAATAACAAATAATTGTTTTAAAAATTCATTTTTCATCGAAATTTTTTTTTTTTTTGCTTTTCAGAAAATATTGTCCATATTCATAAAAACAACTAAAAGCAAATAAAAGCATTTGAAATTAAATAATATCTTTGTTTTATTTTTATGTTACAATTCAGAGCTGATTTTCAGGTAGGAGGGTCCAATTAAAAACAACAAAAAAAAAAAAACATGATTTGCATTCCTCAAAGCCTTGTGCTTTTTTAGCTATTGTAATCACTAAACCCGACGCGATGGAATTTCTAGCGTTTTCATAAAATTAGTTATGGGGCAGGGTAATAAATATTTAAAAAAATGTTTCTGCCATGACTTTAATAAAAAAAAAAAATATATATTAATTTCGAACATCTGTGAATAGTTTCTGAAAGTTTCATTAACATCCGACAATTATTTTTTATTTTTGCAAGATTTTCCAAATTAATGTGTGTCATACAAAAAAAAACAAAAAAAAAAAAAAAAAAAAAACATGCTAAAAATTGTCTATGTTATTTTACTAGTTTCGATACAAAGAGAAGTTTTTTAAATCAAAATTTAGAATGTTCTTAAAAGAAAGAATTTTTTTTTTTAAATAATTAAAAAAAAACTTTGGTCTTTCCTCTTAGACGATAAAATTTTGTTTTCGTCAAGTTTGGCGTCTTTTTCATCATGATGATCTTTTTTTAGTGATCACATGGAGGTACCTACTTTCACCAAACTTCTCAATCTACAATACCTTCTTATCGAAGAGCATTCCTTTCATTGAGATTGACTGTTATTTCATGAACTGAAATCTTTTCCTTGAGTTCAGATAAAAAAAAAACACTTTTAAGCAATTCAAACTAACAGTTAAAGGTAAATAACTCCTGCTATAAACATTGAACTTTCAAATATAGAAAATGTTACAAATTGTTTAATTAATTTAAACAGATTTACAGATTCTATCTCACTTTCACACAATTTGAACATTCCCCACAGGAATACATTCCACCTGTAAAAGGAACATTTCCAAGTAACAAATGCATACTTCAACTAAATCTCTAAGTTCACTGAATTACTGTTTTGTAATGGAATGCATATATAAATTATTTTAGGTACCTCCAAAAATTCGTATACCTAAGGTTTAAATGTATTTTTCATAAAGGAAAAATCCCTTGCAAAGTTTTCCAACCCCTTCAATTGAAAGCTAAATGATTAACTTTTATAATTCCAGGAAAAAATACTGTGGAGTATTTCAAATAGAAATTTGAATGATTTTTACTTTTTAGCCAATCGAAGCCAATCGAAACGGCCATTTTAAACTTTTTTAGAAAAATGTAAACGAACTTATTCTTCGGTTTTGAAAATCCCGCTAAAATAAGAAGATATACATTTTTGAAACGTTACTTGAATTCCATTTTTACTTATGCAAGTTCTCTTGTTGAATGTTTCTTCTTATTGTTTCATATTTTTGTGGTATTTTGAGTAAATATAAATTAGTTCGGGCACAGCCCTAACAATTTCCCTACTGTAACAAAAACCAAAATAAAATACTCTATTTCATAAAATTAAACAAACTTTTGAAATTCATCGGGAGTGTTTATTGATCTTAATATGGGAGGCGGTCCAATTTACTATATAAATTAATAATTGTTTTGTTAATTGATTCTCCAATGGAAGCCCAAACTAAAACTGCCACCTGATTTCTTAAAATGTAAAAACAAAATTGTAATTTGTAATCTAGAATCGCTAGTAATAAAAGAATGATTTTTTAATAGTAGCACATTTTGTTTTGGCTTCTGTAAGGTGGGGAGGGGGAATCACTTTACAATGAATTTACGAAGCAATCTGCCCGTCTTCCACTGTCACGCATAAAAGTTTTGGAAAAATATTTTTGATATTCATGCACTGCTCTGGAATGATAGATAAAAAAATTGGGAAAGAAATTATATTCGTCGTCGCACAAAATAAAAAAAAAATTAATTAGGAAAGAAAAAAGTAAGGCCTGGTTTAATATTAGAGAAGTTGTACTTTTACTTATCGGACTATTACTTTTTCTTTAATTTTCTTACGTAATAATAGAAAAGAAGATTGTTTAAGTTCTTATCAGAATTTGACTCAGTATGTCATAATTAAATATTATATCAATAAATACAGTACAAAAAATACTTTTAAAAATATATTTAAAAAATAAATATAAAATTTGATAGCTTTTCTTTTATAAAAAAATATTTTTCTTCAGATACGAAACAGCGACTATGAATAAGAAATCATGTAAACATGGCGTTGACCGGTTCAAGCATGGGTGGAGAAAGTTTAGATACATCGTTTTTATCGAAAATCCTTACTTATGATGTCCCGCCGGGTTCTCATGTTACATTTGCTTTGTTTTCCGACGTCCAGAATATGAATGAATTGCGAAAATGTGTCATGGGTGGTGAATTTGAAGCTGCATTATTGAAAACTTCTATGGTGAGTTTTACAGACATGTTTGTAAACAATATTTTGTTTCTTTTTTCCGCGAAATATTTTTGTGTGAAATGTTAGAGTTATGTTGATACAATTCATGAGATTGAACCGACAACCTTTTTTTCTCTCTTTCTCGTGTTTACCTTTTTTGATCAACGATCTTTGTATTTGGAAGATAGTGCATCCGCCCACCCCATCCACTATTTTTTTTTAATTTTAAATCAAGCCAACTTCGTAAAACTTGGTTCATAAATACTGTAGTGTAAACTGTAGGAAGACAGTAGGTAAGGTGGGGGTTGGGTGTTAAAACATTACCGTCTTTATCCTATGATGTCAGATGAGTGAATGAGGCAAACACCGTAACAAATTAAAATGGCAGTTGACAAACAAATCTGACTGTTAAAAAAAAAAAAATTTCCATTTCAAAATTGATAATTCCATTTCAAGTAGGACATTTCATTTTTCTATCCATTTTTTTTTCCATTTTCACAGAAAATAACCCCCTCTACATGTGCAATTTTAAGACCCCACTTACAGATTCCAATGATATCATTCAGATGTGTTTTCAGCAGCCCTATTCATGAAGTAGATATTCAGTCTTCCCAACTCTGTGCAAGGCTGACTTGAGCCCAACCATCTTTACCCATTCTTATCCTTACTTTCCATCAATTATTTCTGAACCAAAAAGGCTAGCGGACATACTCAAAGTCAACATAAAAGAAATAAACATCCATAGCAAAAAATGGTATTTTTGTATGATTCTATTTTCTTTGTTTATTGAACATACACCTTTACCTAAAAATATACACAAAATCCACAATCTTATTAACATCCACACCCTTAAATTTTGGTTAAAAGAAACATTAACAAACAACATTCATGCGTTAGGCTTTCTGCTTATCATAAACTAAGTTGAAATACAAAGTAAATTATAATTTCTTTTCTGCCAAATTTTTGGTTAAAAACTTGAATGAACCATTGACAGACGGCATTTATGTGTTTAGGCTTTTTGCTTATCATGAACTAAATTGAAAATAAACAAACAGAAAATTTGGTTGAAATGTTTTTAAAAAAACTTTGAAAACTTTTTTGACTGTGCAAATATTCTTTACATAGAAAACCAAATGTATGGAGAACAGTTCTTTAACTAAAAAATATTAGAAGTTAAATTATTCAAGGTGATTTAACCAACATGTTTAAATTAAAAGAAAGTTGTGATTTTTAATAATGTTAATAAAAATCACAACTTTATTTTAATTTAAACATGTTGGTTAAATTTAACTAATTTATTTTTGTATATATTCATCTTTTAAAACTTTAATTTTTTTATGTTTTTTTAATTTATTTCCTGAACATTTTAACAGTTACCTTGTGTTACTAATATCTGTTAATGATAACTAAATTAAAAATCATTCTGAATTAAGGACAGTTTAAAATTTTTTCTGGGATAATGAGGAAAAAAATTAGTTTGAAATTCTGAGTTTGGCACAGGGTCTTATAGGGAAACAAGATTATAGAAGTTATCAAGCTGGTTCAGGGTGCCATATGGAATGGTCAGTCTTTCAAACTGCCATTTTGAACTTTATTTGAAGCTGAAATAAATAAAACCTTTTCTCTATTCATATTTTGTCAAGAGTGTTCTGGTCTTAATTTATTTACCTATTCTTTTTAAACTGCTCTTGATAATTCATTTTTTTTTTTTTTTTTTTTTTTGTGGTGAGGAGTAATCTAATCTTGATAAATTTTTTAAAAAATACTGTCTTAATTATAGATTTAAAAAAATAAATCATAACTTAATTATAGAAATAAAAATATAATTTGAATTATAGTTTGTTTTTTTTTTTTTTTTTTTTTTTTTCAAACCCAGGCTTAATTATAGGTTTCTTTTAATCCTGTTTTTATCATAAGTCAGTTATGTGCCATGCGTGATACACGCTAAGGCGATCATGTATCTTTCGATACATTACTGACAAGGCATTCAGACACAGTAAGTTGTCATTTCTTTCTATGGTAGACTAGTTGCCATCCAAGGCTATAGAACCTGTCTGTCCTGCTATTTACCCATAGCTCTGGAGAAGAGGATTCATACCTATCCCGAAGAGTATTAGCACATAAATGAATGTAATGGATTTGATTGGAATTCAAATTTGACTCTCCAATTCTTCAGTCTGATACACTATCCATTACCCAAACATTTTTATCATATGGTTAAAAAAAAGTTAATTATAATTTTTTTTTTTTTTTTTAAGCAATCCTGTTTTAATTGTAGATTTCTGAAAAATCTGATCCTATAGTTTTCTACCTATTAATTTCCACTGTCCCCAGAATGTGTCTGTGTCTCCCCAAAGCAATGAGAATATTGCAACATGAATGAGTGACTGATTTTTCTTCTTCTTCTTTTTTTTTTTTTTTAGATTCAAAATCCATTCCAAGCGATAACAGCTGCAAACAAGGCCCTTCATCAAAGACAAAACAACAGGATGATTACAAAAAACATTCATTCAGAAATTCTCTTCTGTTTGTCTCCATTAAAAGGTGTAAGTTGCTCTGTTTTATTTTTGTCAAATAAGAGAATAAATCTTTGTTTAAAACCAGGCTCTAAAGAACATCAACTGAAATTCTGACCTAAAGCGTTGCCATTATTCAACACGTCATTCATTTGTTTGTTTGAGCACCTCAACATGGTGTAATGGTTAGCAAGCTTGTCTCACTAGATCAATTTACAACTGAGTAGTGGATTTGATCCTTACAGGGTGCTCCATACTTTTGGCCTTGTGCCACATCTAAGCTATGCTTGGAAAAGAACATTCATTCAGTTGGTTTTTTCATTTCTTTTCCTCTTTCCCATTTTCTTTTTGCTCTTTTTCTTTTCCTTTTTCCTTTCCACTTTTTCCTTTCCACTTTTTCTTTCCTTTTAATGAGATTTTTTCTGATTTCATTTGGTTAAAGATTTTCCTTTTCTTTTTTCTTCAAGAATTGATTGTTGAGTCATTCATTAGGGGCAATGGTTAGCAAAGCTGGTTGACCATTACTACTGAGTAGTGAATTTGATCCTCACTGGGTGCCCCATACAAAATTCTACATTAACTCACCCAAGAAGTGATGATATGTCATAAAACTAACCAACAAACAATAATCATGGGGTAAAGGATAGTGAGGCTGCTCTGATTGCCATTGCTACTGAGTAGTGCCTCATACATAAATTTGACATTGAAATAACCCAAGGATTGTAAAATCAACCAATTTCCAACCATGAAGCTAATGTCAATACTGTTATCTATTCTGAAGAAAGTTGTTCTAATTTTTCCGCCACTTGTGCAAAATATTCAATATAATTTTTCAGTTCTCAGTTCTCCATTGTGGATTTTTTTTTCTTTACTTAACACAGCCTATGACCCCCACCCTCCCCCACTGTGATAATCAGATTTTTCAAAAAAATTTGACTGTATTCTTTATATTTGCCTGGAGTTTTATTGCTCTGCACTATAGGATAAAACAAAAAAAAATAAATAAATAATTTTAACAAGACACTTGAGGCAGGCTGAAGAATACATTGTCTGCAGTGTTTTGAAAAAACAACAAAGATGAGGATGATAGTCTAAATGATTGTTGGAACGATGCCATAAAAAATTTGTTCAGAAATTTTACCAGGTTTTTCTCTTTCTTGCAGATTTCTGATTCATTTCGCAAATTTGGGGTTTCTGATGATGACAAAAGTGTATTTGTGGCAGTTGTTGATGATAGACAACACAAAGTTTTAAAACAAATTGTTGAAAAAGTTCAAGGCAAACTGCATGATATGACTGACCTTGAAAGCTTATGTGATGTTGCCAATATTAAAAAGGTAATGTGGCTTGTAGTTTGTTTTTTTTTTTTTTTTTTTTATCATTTCACTCCAAGCAGGGCAATAAAACCACTAAGATGCAAGGGGTTACTGAATGTTAAAGTATATGAGAAAAAGAAAAACATTAAAAACGGACGAATTAAGAAAACAGATGATAACAAGTGACATTGCCTTTAAATTTGTGAAGATTAAAGTTGGCCAGAAAGCAAGAAGCCAGCAGAGAGTTTGACAATTTGCAGTTGCATCTCGCCATTTCAACTGTAAAATGATGAGACCTAGCTGCCAATCTAGTACTCCACTTAAATTCATAAAGTCAAGGTAACAAAGAGGAAAGCTCATCAGAACAATTACCATAAAAAATACTTACAGAAAAGGAACAGGGAAGCTATATTAGGGCTGTGAGAAAGTGACTGAAGCTGAGATGCTATGTCAGGACTGCTAGCATTGCAGATTCTTTTTGGAATTTTATCAATCTCTAAATATATAGCAGCAGATCAGATGTCGCAGCAATATTCAATGCCTGGATGGATGGTAAACTTATAAATGTGTAAGATAGATTCTGGTGAGAAAAATTGTTGAGCCTGAAACAATGAACCAACTTTCTTAGCAGTCTGCCCCTTTTTACTATCTGATGGATAGTAAAAAGGTTCTCTAAGATGACCAAAAGGTGATTAGCTATTACCAGAGAGAAATTATGTATATCCTACCTAGAGAATTTGAATAAATGGATGGCATACCAAGGTTTAGGAACAAAAACAAAAAGGCAAAATTTATTAAGAGCTGCAAACGACAGGAAATTGTGGAGAGCCATGATTGCCAATGTCCTGAAGTGTCATGGCACATAGAAGAAAGGGACAGTAAAATAAGGTACCTGGCAGAGTGAAATTAAGGATCTCCCAAAAGTTATTTGTGAGGTTAACATGATGAAGGCCAGAGAATACAGTAGTCAGTCAGTTATGTGCCGTGTGTGATACACGCTTAGGTGATCATGTATCTTCCGATACATGATTGACGAGACAAATTTTTTTCCCGCAGTAGATTACCATTTCATTCTGCGGTAGACCAGTTGCCATCCAAGGCTATAGAATCTAGTCTGTCCTGCTTTTTATCCATATCTGGGGGAAGAAGAAGATTCATACCTTTCCCCAAGGGTATAAGTGAATGTAATGGATTTGACTGGAATTCGAACTTGGCTCTCCAATTCCTCAATCAGGCAAATTGTATAAACAATTGATAGTTTATTCAGACCAATATCCTGATCTATCAAGTTGTAATAATTTACTTTTTTTTTTTTTTTCCACAGATTTACAAAGTCACAGCTGAAGAAATGCAAGTGGGGCCTCTTGTTGATGCTCTTGTGACAAGAATCGCAATGAAGGACACTTTTGCAGTGTAATCATGCCATCAAAATTAATATCTCATAAATTACAAAACTGCTCGGTGTAAAATTAATCCCCTCCCCACTTATAAAAAAGAACTTTTAAAAAAAAAAAAAAAATGAACAAAATAAAAATGTTTTTAAGGTTTTTATTAGCAAAGTATCATTGTTGCTTCTTTTTTTTTTTCTTTCTTTTTTTAAGTTCACCCAATACAAGGCTCAAGATCCACTCAACGTAGAAATATTAAAATATTTATGATGAATGCAGTGTATGATATGAATGAAAGGTTAAGATTGTAGTATTCAGGTAAACATCTGCATGGGAGTCTGTTCCATAAAGTATCAGCTCTTGGTTAGATATCCAAGTGGAACTTACATCTTACCTTTCACATACAGAGGAAATATGGGCAATTTGACTGTGGAATTAGCATGTCTGAGCTGTAAAGGTGGAAAAATAAATGGCGCTAAATAGTGATAGATTGATTCATTTTGTATCTCTTATACCCGTCACAGGCATTAAAATATATATATATATATATTTTTTTTTTTTTTTGAGATAATGGTTTAGTGATACAAGTTTTACTAATTAACCCATAGCTGAGGAGAGAAGTAGATTCATACCTTTCTCAAAGGTGTTTGTGCGTAAGTGAATATAACAGATCCAATGAGAATTAATAATTCCGAGCCATTATCCATTAAAGCGCCTGCACATCCAGGCAGACATCAATCTAGGTACTGACCAGGATCAATGTTGCTTAACTTCAGTAATCATATGGGAATTGGTGTTTCAATGTGATGTGACTGTGATACAAATAGCCATAAAGTAGAGACACAGGCTTTGATCTGTGGGAAAGATATTTGTATATGTCAAACATCTAGAGGTAGTTTTAAGGTCCCTTTGGTTAAGAAGGTCACAGAATGTCTTTGGGAAGAGAAGTATCATGTGTCTCTGAAAAGTTTTCAGGGAGTAACACTTGGGGTTTAGTTGTAGTCAATTAAATGATTACTCTATGAAAAAGGAGAACTCTAGAAAGTCAGTGATCAATTTTACACTGTACCAACTTCTAAATGGATAAAAAAAATATATATATATATATATATTCTTTCATTTTGACAAATGTAGCCTGGAAAAGGCCTAAGAAATGCTAGTCTCTAAAAATTATTCCTGAATATTCTTTTTTTCTAAAAATTATTCCTGAATATTCTTTTTTTCTTTTTACAAGCAAAACCAATCTGTTTAAATAGAGACGGGTGTTCCATCCATCTGAGACCCACTTTCTTGCCCTGTTGATAATCCACTGATTCACATTGCTTTGCTATGAGCAGCCTGGCTGGTGTTCATCCTGATTCACCAGAGCGCAACTGATATATGAGAGGAAGTCAAAAAATTATCTACACTTTTTGCCTGAATATTTTTAGGTTTGTCACACTGCCTTCTGCTCATGTGTGCTTATAGCTGGTAATATTGTGGTCCTGGGATTGAAGTTTGAATTTTCTTGCTGTTATTACAGTGTAAAAATGGCCACTTTGCTTGAAGTGTGCAGCAGGGAGGAACAAAGAACAGTGATTCAGTTTCTCTGGTCAGAAGGTGTCAAGTGCTGAAATTAATTGGAGGTTTTTTAACACTAAAATGGTGACAGTGCAATACCACGTAGAACTGGGTATCAATGGATTGAAAGGTTAAAAGAGGCCGAAGGATCAGGACGCCTATCAACCTCCACTACTGACAAGAATATTCAGCAAGATTGAACAAGGGTAATAGCAAACTGGTGAACAAGTTGTTGTCATCATCAATGAGGTAGCATATTCTCTGAATATTAGGATTCCTGCTTTTTGTTCCCACTTGGTGCATTGTAAATTATACAAGAAATCAGCATATTATGAAGGAAAATAACACAGTATATATCCAAGTGAATACTGAAAAGTTCTACCAAGATATTTATAAAAAAAAAAAAAAGAAAGAAATCTTCAACATCTACTTCTTACATGTATGTGTGTGTATATATATATATAGACACACACACAAAATAACACAATAGACTACGGTAAACAATCTAAACATTCAACGAATAAATAACCTTATCTTTCCAGACCAAGACTAACTAAATAAATGACCTAAGCAAATTCACCCGCAATTTTTTTCTTTTTTTACTGTTAATAAAACATTAAAAACCGAAAAGAATAATTAATACAAAAAATAAAAATGAAATACAAATAAATTAACCCAAATAAATAAACAAACAAGCCACCAGAATAGATTACCCAGAATGCACCCATATATATATAGTCGAGGAAAAACCCAACATTCGTGGCCTGACAATTGCGCCTAGCATGAAACAGCCTGTCGCTTCTGAGTAATGTTCACTTTTATTATATATATATATATAAAAAATCTATGAGAACTGAACTGCAAGACTAATCACACAGATGATTGTAGTGGCAAGGGATTCTGTAGAACCAACCACACTTTTAAGAAGAAATGACACAGAGTGTGCTATGTCTCCAAACTGCCCTCAGGTTTAAATTCAGCATTTTTCTTCTTCTCCACTGGCTGCCATCCAAGATAAGTGAGCTCAGTTTGCCCTACTATTTAACCCATAGCAGGAAGAAGATGGATCCATACCCTTTTCCAAGAGAATTTAAAGTGATCAAAACAATTGGCTTTCCACACCAATTTTCATCAGCTCCTACATCATAGCCTGCATGAACAAAGTACAATTTTATTTTACGAAAGGTAGTAGTTGTAGCATCATTACTAGGAGGATGGGAGATAGAAGGTTGGCTAAAATCTCATCACTTATGCGCTGGCTTGCCTCACTAAAGAAACTGGGTGTAGTGAACCATCTTGATCGTTTCTAATTCTTCCCGCCAGCTGACTGGCTTTGTGCCTTCTTGGTCTTATATCAAAACTTAAATACACTGTCAGAATTCCATGTGACTCAGTTCAAGTTGTCAGAGTTTTGACCAGCAGTTTGCCACTTTGGGCCAGCTATAACAAAATCTGTAATTATGCAAGCAAAAACAAAACAAAGGCATTTTTTTCTTTAACAGTTTAATATATTTTGAAATAAATACAATAAATCTTGAATTCAGAAATTTTTACAACAAATATATGATTTTTTTTTTTTGATGTTATATATTTGACCACAATTAAGTTTTCTCTGATGGGAGGTCAACCATCAATTGGTACCACTTCAAATTCTTACCTTTTCTATATTTATCTTACAGTAGACAACCAGGCTTTTTTTTTTTTGATGGGTGGGGGAGGGTAGAAAATTGTCAGAATTGAAATGCAAAAGATCTGTCACATACTCTAGGTTTTCAAGTGATGCCTGCAAAATTAAGAATTGGAAAGGTCAAATCATTCCCCAGTTTATTATGTAGTTTTGTTTAATTACAAAAGCACTCTGCACAATAAGAGGAGTTTCATTATTACATTTTTCTAAAGATACATGTGTGTGTGTATATATGTATATATGCACACACACACTTTACCTTTGTTGCTGTCAAAGTCTTCATAGAGCAAATGATTATGTGAACCATAGAATTGTTCGAACTTATCCTACCTGTCATTCCATTACCAGATACATATATATATATAATTACTGAAAGCTTGAATTCATCACTTCAAGGAAATATCTATATTTTTCAATATTTAATAGATAAGTAATTCTTGTTTTCCTTTTTACTAGCCATTCTCAAGAGTTTTTGCTTTTTATGTTGGGGGGAGGGTTGGTGAGCAAATAGTACAAGGCTTTCTTTGTATTAACAACTCTAGTGGCACTACTATAGCAGAACAATAGGATGGCACGGAGAGTCAACAGTGCCAATGGAACATCACACAGAAACCAAATTTTATAAGCAAATAAAACTCAAGATTTTATAATGGATATAGTCATCTGAAGAGGCCAAGGAAAGTTTGGGGTGGGATATGAATATTTATAATTGAGAATTTTGAACAAAGAGAGCTTTAATCATAAAATAAATTTAAAAGGCTTTTAAATTCAAGGTTTATGATGAAAAAACTAAAAAATAATTGAACTCTTCAGCTAAGAATCCTTTTGAAAGGTGAGAGATCATTTGTTTGAGAGAGTCCACCATCTGCCTGCCTGCCTGCCTTTGACCAAGTTCTTCAAACTTAGATTGCTACCCTAGCATATGACAGCATCAAATTAAAAAAATGCATTGATAACAAAAATTGGCGGTGGTGTTGAGTTATCAAAGCTCTCAAATGATTTAGCAACATTTGTTTTGAATTCTATAGAATCCGATCATTTGGCGAGGGGCGTGGGGATAAAAAAAAAGAAATGGCTCTGGTGAGCTTTGTAGCTGTTAGTCACAATTAAGCAAAGTCAACCCCAATCGAACAAAACTTTGCATATTTCATTAATGTGTGTGCTATTAAAACAACAATACTATATTAGAGTTTTATTTTTAGGATCTTTCTAATGTTGCATTTATAATTAACTCAAAAATTATTTTGAGTTATATTTGTTTCATTTTAAATAATTTCATGACAACACATTTTAAACATTGTACCTATGTGCCAGAATTAAATTTGACTGAAATCCAGTTCCTCTCTCTCATATATATATATATATATCTCCAAGTATAAGATTGGTATACACGGAATAAATTCCAATAACCAAAAATACTATTCTTAAAAGAGTGCTCAGTACAGAGTAGAGAAAATATAAAATTTATTTGAAAATTATAACGTTTTATGTTATAAAATCACTACAAAAATAGCCATTTTGTTTCAACACTTCTGGTGTCGAATGTAAAATAAAGAGTTTTAAAAGGTTCAAACCAAGCAAACACCTCTCAATAGGGGAAATGCTATTACATAAGCTACAATGACCAATCAAAATACAAGTATATGAAAATTCAAAAAACTTGACAACGAACCTTGGCTATAATTATTAACGCCTAATGTTAGACTAAAATAGAAATCAGTCTGATTAATTTTAAATTTTACTAAAAAATTGAAAATTTCATATATTTGAAGTGTTGAAACA